AAAAAAAAAAAAAAAAAAAAAAAAAAAAAAAAAAAAAAACCAGGAGAAAAATTCTGAATGGCTTTGCAGAGGAGGAGTTAGCGGTGCTCTGACTTCTTCGGGCATGATGCACTTTAGAACTACCACCCTGGCAAGAGACAACTGGGGGTCTGGGCAAAGGTTGCACAACCTGTGGATGGGGGGACCCTGGATCACAGTGGAAGCTCTCAGACCCCTCAGACACTCTGGTCCCTTGAGGCTGCAAATGCTTGATGCCACTCCCCCGACACAGTTCCATCCTGCCAGGACTACTCTCCTGAACCAAACCCCAGAAATGATTTGCCACCATTGGGGAGAAGACTGCGCTAGCCTGAACACGGAGCGTCCTGGGCTGCTCTCCCATTGTGAAAGCACTGAGCCATACCGAGGCCGGGCAGAGAAACAGCCACACGCGGCATCCAGACTGTGGGGTGGGTACCATTCAAGGCTCCACACAGGTGGGTCTCAGCACAGGTGCAGGGCGTGGGAGATGGGCTGCCTCCTCCCTCGCAGGTCTGGAGCCAAAGTGTGGCCATCACCCAGGGATGCAGTTCAGTGAAGATGAGGATGGAGGGCAACGCCTGCCCCAGGTCCCCCACAAAGTGCATGGTGAGTACCAAGAGAGAGATGCCCAAGAGCCCAAGAGGGGACACCTGGGGGATGCCTTCTAAGGGCCCTTGGGCAGGTGTTGGGTGGGCTCCGAGGTGGGGGGCCATTGGTGCAGAGCCAGGCACAGCCAACCCAAGCCCTGGACAGCACAGGCAGGAAAGCTGGGGACCTTGGGGCTGCACATTCCTGAGACTAAACCATGAGGGGAGGGGGCACCAGAGCTGCGCACGGGAAGGTAAGGGGACCTGTGAGGCCATAAGAAAGAGGCTGGGGAAGAAACTGGGTATCCCCACCCCTGCCACGCAGGACAGGCATGACCTGCACGTGTCCAGGGGCCACTCGAGATCCAGCCTGGGAGTCGGCTGGCTGCACACAGAAACACACAGAAATTAACTGAAACCCAACCGCTTTGTGATACGCCTTCAGGCTTGCCAGGATTGTTGTGGCTACTTCTGACTTCTTTTGGAGACTTCTGAAGGATATTTCCTGTTTTTTCAAACTATATGTCTTTTTATATTTTTCTGCCAATTTCTCAATAGTATATCCGTATTTATTTTGCATTTCTAGCAATTAACTATACAGATTAAATCAAAACTTAGGGCCGGCCCAGTGGCACACTGGAGAGTGCGCCGCTTGGGAGCACGGTGGTGCTCCCGCCGAGGGTTCGGATCCCATGTGGAGACCGGTTCCCGCTCACTGGCTGAGCGCTGTGCGGGCGCAACACCGAGGGTTGCGATCCCGTTGCTGGTCCCCGGTACGGGCGTGACACCGAGGGTTGCGATCCCGTTACCGGTCAGTAAAAAAGACAAAAAGGAAAAAAAAAAACTTAAATTACGGCTCTGTCTTAGTCTGCTCAGACTGTCGTAACAATGCTGCAGACAGGCAGCTTACACAACACAAGTTTATTTCTCATACTTCTGGAGACTGGAAAGTCGAAGATCAAGGTGCCAGCAGATCTGATGTCCTGGCTCACAGACACCACCTTCTGGAGTGAGCTCACACGGCCTTTTCTCGGTGTGCACGAGCAGAGAAAGACAGCCCTGACATCTCTTCTTATGAGGACACCAGTCCTGTCGGATCAGGGTCCCACCCCTGTGACCTCATTTAACCTCAATTACCTCTTTAAAGGCCCCTTTCCAAATGGAGGGGGCTACACTGGGGATTAGGGTGTAAACATATGTATTTGGGGAAACACAAACATTCAGTCCATAACAGGCTTAAAACTAAAACGCATCAGATTTTAGAACCAAAATTTTAATTTAAATTACATTAACAATTTAAGTTAAAAAGCATATTGAAGAAATCAAAAACAGAAATCAGCTGGGATCTATGGATTGAGCATCC